ACAATATAAATATAAATTTTTATTTTATTTTATTTATTGATTATCAAATTATGAATAAAAATTACAAAACAATATTAGTCCAAAGACTTTTGCAATGTACTATAAATAAAAAAATATTATAAAATTTAATACTTGAATTAATAAAATTCATGACTTTTCATTTTAATTCCTTATAAAAACCAACAAATAAATAGTTAAATTCTTTATATTGCCATTAGAAAAAAAAAAGTCAAAAAGCAGAAACTAGAAAATTGGAAGTGAACAATTGTTGCTTATACTGTATGTAAATAATTAATTAAACAAAGTAAGACTAATAATATTCCATATTTATATTACTTTCAAGTATTAATTTTTACCAAATAATTAAGAAAAGAACATAAAGAATTAAAAGTATACAATTACTTATTGAACAAAGGTTTAAGAAAGTTGACAAATATTATAATAAATTAATAGATGTAATTAAAGAAACAAAGGTTTATTTTCTTGAAGAAAGTGAGACTAATCTAAAAAATCTTACTAAAAGAAGAATAAATATATATGATTATAGTTAATATTCTAAAAAAATATTTTTTAATAAAATATTATATGTCAAATAATTATAATATTAATTATAATTACTTATAGTTAAAGGATTTGTTGAAATATTTAGATAAACATTTGAAATCAATTCATATATTCAACTGACTCATAAATAATATTATAATAATTTATATTTTTATGACATGATACTATTAAAAAATTTGTTAAATTGGATATATAGTTTAAAAGAAATTTCAAAATATAAACAAGAAAAAGAGATAGAAAAGAATAAAGAATTGATAGTTAAACTCAAAAGATGAAAAATTATTGAATATGAGAAATCATTAATATATTCAGAAAGTAAAAAACAAACTAGAGAAAGTGTATTAATATATTAATTTCAGGAAACAGTTAAGAAGTTAGAAGAAAAAAAAATTTTAGGAAAATATTTAACAAGATAAAATTAATTGAAATTAGTTTTAAAAAAATTAAACTAAATCTTTAAAAAAAAATTAAAAAAAGAGAAAGAGAAGAAAGAAAAAGAGAAAAATGATAAATAATTTAATTAATTAATTTTGTAATTTTGTAATTTTTTAATAAATTTATCAAATTCTAATACTAGATTTGTAACTTTTTTACTATAGTATGCAATTTTTTTTGTCAAATTTTTTGCTACAGTATCAATTTTTTTGTTAAATTTTTTGTTGCAATATCAATTTTTTTGTTAAATTTTTTGTCACAATATCAAATTTTTTGTCACAGTATATAAATTTTTTTTTGTCACAATATTATATTGAATTTTTTTACTGCAGTATGCCAAAAAAATTTTTTTTTGTCAATTTTTTGCTGATATTTTTAATGTCAAGTGATAGCAATAGAAAATAATTTGTTAATATTTTTATAATTATATTTTATCAAATTTGACAATAATTCAGTTACCAAATAACATAATTTTAACTAGTATTAGAAACCTATTTTTACTTATATTATATAATTTCCAATATTTTCTAGTAGTGATGTTTTATTAAAAAATTTTTATTGATAAGCATTTTTTATTGCTAGATTTCTCAACAACCTTTTTGTTTTGCAATGGTAGAAGGGTCTTAATAATGATAGTAAGAATCTTTATTGATTACAATATTATTACATAATGTCTAGATAAATGTATTTTCAATTTTGGCAAAGAATAATGTCTCATAATAAACGAGAACATGCTGTTAGCCAAGTATAGAAAAATATAAACCAGTTTAAGTATCACAATCTATATCAATTACTAAAACACCCTGTGAATTCTTTGTAATCTTGCACAGTTTGCTTAAATGCAAGCGAAATTAATTCATAATGTTGAAATAGAACTTTTTTTATGGTCAAAAATAAATATTACATAGTATCCAGTACTGGTATGAATTATCTTACTATGGAGTTAGCGCGCGCCACATATACGGAATTAGAAAATATAAGATAAATTTTAATTGGATCGATTTACTGTATATGAATCGTGATCTGGGACCCGATTTCGAATTTAATCACAATACTTATGATCCTAAAACTGGACAGACCAATTAACAATATTTAAGGGCGCGAGAGGTTTAACTAGGCCTTTATAGGATGTCTTCCCTACAAAAAGAATTATTTAAAGGAAAGGGCGAATTTTGTTTATCAGGGCGTGCAACAAACGCGTCGATGAACGAGCAAGAAGGCTTCATAGAGGAAGTATTGGAAGAGATAGACGAAGAGGAGGAGGGAAAAAGCGGGGTTGGAAGCTTATCTACCACGTATGTTATGAGGAAATGATTTTTGTCGAGCTATTATTATTCTCAGATGCGCTTTACAGCCTTCGTTTTACGGAATTAGTAACTTTGCGAGGCCTCGTAATAAAAAGGACTACACTGCTATACCTTGGGAAACCTGCTTTGATAGTTATCGGGACATAAAGATACCAAATTCAGAAGATATATCCTTTTGAAAAATCCTTTTTGTTATACCCCGCAAGTGAAAACAAGACCCTTGACAACACTCGGTCAATACGTTTTCAGAGCTTATGAAATTCATAACACGGTAGATCGCGATACACCGTTATTCGTATTCCATCATGGACTGGGATATTCAGGCTTATCGTTTGCATTGGCTGCTTCACATATGAAACAGTTGATGAATGGAGAATGTGCAATGTTTTCTTATGACTGTAGAGGTCATGGTATGTGTTAACTGTCCGTATGAATAATTTTCTGGTGATTATGTGATAGAATAAATTTTAATAGGATTCACGGAAACCTCTGATGACAATAACTTGTCATTGGACAGACTAAGTCAAGACTTGGTCAACGTCTTAAATGCAGCATTTGATGATATATCTAAACGAGATATATTCTTGATTGGGCATAGGTAATGATATTTTTAGATCTAATCTTTCATAATTCGTGATAGAAGGTTTAAATAGAAAAATTTATTGTTAGTATGGGAGGGTCCGTTGTATCCCACGCGGCATCGAAAAAATTAATTCCTTCGATGACCTGTATAGCCGTAATAGATGTTGTTGAAGGTTGGTTATCGAAACTACAATATCAATTTTCTTTAATAAAAATAAAAAAAAAATAAAAATACATGGTGATTAGGATCAGCAATGGAAGCACTTAAAGGCATAAGTTCCTTCATAAAGACAAGAAAAAATGAATTTGAATCAGTTGACGATGCCATTAAATGGAGGTTAGTCAGAATCATATTTATACATTAGAAGGCTTGTATGAACTCACTCAAATTTTATTGCTGCAATTGTAGTGTAAAATCCGGCACAATTCGCAACCTTGGTTCAGCTCGAGTATCAATACCTCCCCTTTTGAAAAAAAGGGGATCCAGTCATGTCTGGAAAACTGATTTGATGGCAAGTCAACATTATTGGGAAGGTGAGGATTAAACTGAGATTTTTATGATCCACTTTATGCTGATTCGATGTGACTTGTCTTTTTTTAGGATGGTTTATCGGATTGTCGGAAAAATTCTTATCCGCAAGTGCCGCGAAGCTACTTATCCTTGCAGGTAATTTACTCGATAGTTATTTTGTCATATTTTGCTACACTTGATTCTCACCTTGCCAGATCTTTGATGCAATAGGCACCGATCGGTTAGACAAGCCCTTAACAATTGCTCAAATGCAAGGTAGTTATATTATATTCTTTGCGTATACCGTGTCATCTCGATATTAAGATAGTTTCTTTTTGACTTAGGGAGATATCAATTACTGGTGTTTCCGGAGGTGGGTCACATGGTACAAGAAGATGCACCCGAAAGGACAGCATCGGCGCTTGTAGAATTCTGGAAAAGGAATGAAAAGTTGGTTCTTCCAGTGAAGAAGCCCTTTGTAGGAAACAAAGGGTAGAGAATGTAGATAGAAGCAATATACTGGGAATTAAAGTTCTATAACTTGTTTGGGTAAGTTTCATGATGCCGATTATTATATGCGATCGATGCTTATATGTATATATTCCATTGCCCAAATTCTGGGGGACTAAAATCACTTTATTCAAAGATATCTTTATATTAGATTTACGAGCTAAATAAAAAGATTTTTTTTTTAAAAAAAGAAAAAAAAAAAAGATCAAAAAGAATAAATAATATCAACTTTGCGCATCTCCCAATGAGACTTGTTAATTTCAACTTTAGTAACCTCGGTGAGATCCGAGTTATAATTTGAAGGGTCTACATAACGTCCCGCCATCCACATTAACGGTGGCACCATTAGTAAAAGCACCTGCTCTACTAGAAAGATAAATACATGTACCGGCCATATCTTCTGGACTGCCAATTCGATTCAAAGGTACAGCAGCTTTAATTGCGTCACCATAATCTTGGAGCGTTTTTTTCATCATTTTCGACTCGAACGGACCGGGGGCTACAGAATTAAAAGTGATATTCCGATTTGACAGATTGCCGGCCATCACCTTTGTTAGATGACGCAGAGCAGCTTTTGAGGTAGAATAAGCGTAAGTCTCATGTGATGGAGTCCTTTCACCTATTTTGAGAGTTAGTTCGCGGACAACCAATTGAAATAAAAACATCTAAGTGGTTAACAAGTTACCGTCGATTGAACCAATATTAATCACTCTAGCCGGATCTTCCGCTGTGGCGGCTTTCTCAAGCAAAGGCAAAGCGCTGTCAATGAATCCGATTGAGATTGTTTGATTTTTGTTAAAGCAAAGCATATGTGCGCAATAATTAAACCTACGCTTGTGTCAAACTGAAAATCCTCTTTAGATTTAAGTTAAGCACTTTCTATTATTTAATTAAGAGACAGATAGATTAAAAAATTTATTCATGCCTTTGTTGATTCTTTTTTTTTTTTTTTTTTTTATAAATATTCTACCTCAAAAGCCTCGTCGGGATACTCTTCAAACGGTGCACTCCAGTTTGCACCCGCATTATTAATTAAAACGTGTAATTCTACATTCATAAGCTAACATTAATTAAAATATCACATTTATTTTCAAAAATTCGATTTCACCTTACTTCCTTCTCGTTTCATGATCTCGCCAATCAACTTTTTACATTCTTCAAGACGCTGTAAATCAGCCGGTAAGCTAACTGCTTCACCAGGTCCTATAAAACTCAATTGATTGGTAAATATATCAAAGACCCATGCATTGAGCAATGTTCTCAAAAAAAAAAATAAATAAATAAACCTTGAGACGTCAATTCTTTTGCGACCTGGTCGCAAACTTTAGCAGACCTCGAAGAAATGTAAACCTTTGCACCATTTTTCACGAAACCTCTGGCTATCATAAGGCCAATCCTTTACGTATGTGTAAAAAATTAACGCGTAGGCTCAATTTAAGCTCATTGAGGAAATAAGGTTTAATAAATGAGAATGGTAGGCTACCCGCGTGATCCTCCTGTTATCAGCACGACCTTGCCTTTGATACCAAAGAGAGAATCCAAATCCATAGAAATTATCGAATCAAAATAATCGAGTTACACTGTGTGTCGTTTATTAATGTGTGATCATGTGATTTTATAGAATTACGAGAAACGTGACATTCACCTGCGAGACAGACTAATTTAATTCCGGGAGTTATTTTTAAAGGGAAAGGATTGACTTCAAGTTCCGCGTGAATGAAGAATCGAAAACGCATCAATATAGTTAACTTTCACAAGAAATATTGACGAAAGAACAATGCATCAATTACTCGATACTGACACGTATTTAAACTAAAACTGATGAATTGCGTTTATATACTGTACTGTATATATATAAAAAAAGAAAGATTAAAGTCAAATACATGAAATGGTTTAGCATCATTTAAACTTTCTCGCTTTGGAGGTTTCTTTATATAGAAGTTTGTTGTTCACATCTTCATGCTTTTATCCTCGGATGAAATCCGTCGAAAAAACTTTGGTAAACTAGTCTCCGTGATTTCAACGTTCGCTCTTAAATAACTATAAGGAAAACATAAATCGAAAGATATTTTATCAGTTAATTTCGCGTCACCTGATCACCAACTGCTAGAGAAAATGTCTAGCGAAACTTCAAAACGCGCTTCAAAACATCCTTGGACATCACAGGAAGATGAGCTTTTAGAAAAGATGATTCAAGAGTGGGGTACGTGTTGGAACAAAATTGCCGACAGCATCAATAACCGCGACGCTCAAAGTTGCAAAAACCGGTAATAAATAAGCATTTGCCTGTGTTATAAATTGTCATTTGTTAAATTCTTTATATCAATCCAAAAATAGTTACCAATATCTCAAACGGCGTCCAACCGAATGGACCGAAGAAGAAGACGCTCTTCTCAAAAAAACAATGAAAGATCATGCGAAATCTTTTAATGAAATTTGGAAGGCGGTGGCCGAAAAAATCCCAAATAAAACTTGGCAACAGTGTGAAAAAAGATGGAACGTAAAGAAAAGTGAGGGAAATTGACAACTTCTTTTAATATTAAAAAGGTGGTCTATTAACTAAACATTCTAATATCATCGAGTCTTAGAAATACAGTATATGTATCTATCGTATAAATCTAAATTAAATAACCACCGAATCTAATTTCACGAATAAAAGTTATGATCTTAAAAATAAACACAAATGACCGATTTTTTAAACTATAATATATTGTCTATTCTAGAACGAGAGAATTCTTGAAAAAATGTCATATTTATTTATTGCATTCAATACAGGATATTTAAATTAAACATTGTAATTAATAAAAAAAATTAATTTTAATTTCGCAATAGCCTATTAAGTCATATCACTTGAATACTTAATACAAAATATACTGTACTTGAGCATTGTATATACTGTATGTAGAATTCAACTAATTTAAATCTTCTATCAACAACTTATCTTAAGTAAAGATTTTTAAATTTAGTTATGAAAACAAGATGATATTTCTCGAGTATTTTAAATAATCATCCTTCTAGGAACTTACTTTATTGCAATTGTCAATATTAATTGTTTTTCATAGTGCTAAAAAAAAAAAAATTAATACATGTGATAAAATTGTTAATTTTATTATATATAATAATTATACTATAATTCTATCATTAGTTTTTTTTGTTTTTTTTTAACCCGCAATCATGCCATGATGGCTTGTCTTTATTGAAAAATTAAAACAAATCTACAATAATTTATAGACTTTCACAAAGTGACTAATTCATCTTCATACATAAGTACTCTAAGTCAAATTTTAAGGACAATATTACACTTCCCTAATAAATGATAATAACCTATATCTACTAGGATCATTGCCAACAATTTGTCACTGTTGATTACCTGAAAACCAATGAATTGCTAAATTAAAGGAAAAATGATTGAGGGAAGAAGACAATTCAAAACCTATCAAAAAAATCTAAAAATAATAACAACCTCTTCTTAAAAGGGATCTGTCTGATTAGAATAATCTTTTTGCTTCACTTAAATTTTGAAAAAAAACTTCTTTTTCACTATCTGTGACTAAAGATAGGTCCTTAAAGGGGAAGGCAGGGACATAAGTCAAATGTCCCTCACTAGAAAACATTAAAATTTTTAAATTAATAACTATAAAAAAACTATTCACAATTGTTTTCCATTATCCAAATTATTTATTTATAGCATTTCCTGATTTTTGTCCCTATTGAAATGAAGAGTTATGAATTTTGTCCCTCAAAAAAGAACATAAGTAATCTGCAAAATTTTATATGCTAAATACTTTAGGGACCCATCATTAACCCCAGATTTTTATGGGACTGAGGAAATGCATTTAAACATGTGAAGTGCCAATCTTGCCTGACGTGTTTTATGTCAGCCAATCAGAGTTGGTGAGATCTGTGCTAACCAAAATTTCAGGATCAATACTGGAATAGGCAAAATTCCTCAGAAAGTCATGAAAAAAGTAGCTCTAAGAGGCGACAACACCAGTCAAAGGGTAAAAAGTGAGTCCTTTGGCTGATTCATAACCTTTATTATCTTCACTATAGCTAAAAGGTAAGAGGTACTTCACTGTTGGTCCTTTTTCCTTTAGAAACTTTTTTGCCATTGGTAGTAAAAGTGAAAGCTGAACTTTGCAGACTACAAGAGTTCAGTTTGTTCAAAAGAGATTGTAAACAATAGAGAGTGGAGTTGGTAAAGTTCTAAAGGAACTCTTTGAATTGGTTTAAGGAAAGTAGGAAGACTCTATTAGCATAAAAGTATTAAAACTTCTTGTTAACATCTTTTTGTGTGTGGTCAAAGGATCAGTAAAAAGAGTTTATGCATAGTCATAAACTTATATGGAGTGTTAAAATATTTAGAAAAGAACAAAACTTTTCATTTGACAAATAATATCACAAGAAGACTTCAGAATCAAATAATGAATCAATATAATTAGATACTGAATAGACAGATGAAATAGTGAGAAATGATATTAGACACAATATAAAATCAAGATAGAAGTCTAACTCTAAAAAATAAACCGATAAATCTAACAATGCTACAGATGAATTATATTCTCAAACCAGAAGCAAACCAGTCATATATATAATCAAAATAAAACAAGAACCTAAATCCAAAAGAGTTGGATATGTTTAACTAATAGGTAGTAATAATGAACCCATCAACTTAAACAAGAAATGGAATCAGGGGACTAATCAAGAATTCAAAAATTTAGACAGCTCAAACTTTAAAAACAATGAATCTACTTCTTGGCAACAAATCTTAGCTAATCTAAAAAAAATGAATACATGAATTAGTAGAATAGAGCAACAATTCAAAAAATGTGCTTGGCCAGGATACAAATAAGGAACCTGATAATTATAAAGTATACTAGTCCAACCACAGTTCCTGAAGAAGAACTGGATTCCCAAAAGAAATATAGCTCTTTTTAGAAAATAATAAATCCAATGGCAGATGTAACAAACAATAATATATATAACAATAAATTCTCAAATGATACAAGCTCCTTAGATAACTTGATCTCAACAATAAAATCCAATATTATTAAAATATCAAAAAGTCATATTCTTTATAAAAATAATAATCATCTATCAATAATATTGTAATTATAAAAACATACAATATAAGAGGTATTAATACAATTTTTTGATTAACAAAGGCTTTGAAAAAAAATATATGAGATGGATATTGATATTCTTGAAATTTGTAAAACAAGACTTGCATTTGAATCTGATGCATTTGTCTTCAAATTTCAAGAAACACATAAGTTCTTTCATAGCAGTAACAATAGTAAACCTGGAGGCTTTAGAGTAGACCTTTTAATCAAAAAGAAATATGAAAGAAAGCTAGCATATATAAACAAGATAGTTAGTTATATAATAGGAGTAAACTTTTTGTCAGCAAAGAGTAAACTTACAATTTTTCAAGTTTACTTACCTTCTGACAAAAAAGAAAATAAACATCTGCAACAAATCTTACAAAAGAAAATTCATGAAAAACAAAAAAAGACTTTGAAGTAATTATTATGGAAAACTTTAATACTGTAATTGATTCTATAACAGATTAGTCCTCTATTAATAATAAAATATATATCAGATACAAGAAAGCTGAAATCAGATTATTTAACTTCTTAAAAAACTGAATTTCACAGATGTTCAAAAGCTTTGGAAGGAAGAAGGCAATAGTTTTTTATATGATTAAACAAGTTAGTTTATAGCAGAATTGACTATATCTGGACTATAGCTAAATTAAA